AACTTGGCCTTTTCATCATGAACAGAAGAGCTTTTGGCATACAGTTCTTATTCACTCATCGAGTGTTCTTCCATTCTGAACACCACACTCTATTTGACACTAAATCTTCAATCCATCCTCTTGACAACCTTGGTTTCACTGGACACTTTTTGTAGAGGAGGCACTATTAACTCTACATCATGTCCTAAGGATGCTTCTTCTAAGGAACATTAGAGATGTTCTGGGCTAGCATCAAGCTATCTCCTCACACATTTTTCTAACCATGACTTCTGCCATCCTTATTCTTCACCACCCTGACTATTTTCTTTAATAAAGTTAATCCTGTTATCTTCTTGTGAATGCTCTGTGTAGCTTTCAGGCATTTTTCTCAAATGCCATTCCCTCTGTACAGTGCATGCCTACAAGGATGCTGTCTGACCTTCATTAGAACCAGCAAAGCACCCAGTGTCTCTTGGACTTATAATGGAGTCATTTGTGCTCATCATTTCACCAATTCTCCAGGTCCTGAGGCATATATGTAGAAACAGTCTTACATGTTTTCATGTAGTTTGTCAGTTGCCAAGCAAAGCATCTTGCTCTACAACGGTCTTAAATAGAGAGCAGGAGCTCCACAAGGTGAGCAACGGAATGAAAATATCTGGGCTGAGGGGTCTTTTCTGAGACTGATACTTCAACCAAGGACCATTCATGGATATTACCTAGAACCCCTGCTCAGATGTAGCCCATGGCAGCTCAGTATTGAAGTGAGTTTCCTAGTAATGGGATCAGGGACTGTTTCTGACATGAGCTCAATGTCTGGTTTTTTACCACCTCCCGCTGATTGGGGTGCAGCTTTACCAGGCCAAAGAGGAGGACAATAAACCAGTCCTGATGAGACCTGATAAGCTAGGCTCAGTTGGAAGGGGAGGAAGACCTCCCCTATCAGTGGACTGGGTGAAGGGGCATGGGAGGAGATGAGGCAGAGAGGGTGGGATTGGAAGGGAAAAACAGAGTGGGCTATGGCTAAGATACAAAGTGAATGAACTGTAATTAATATAAAAAAATAAAAAATTCTTTCTTATTAAATTGAATTAAATTTATTTGTATTAAATATATTCTAATGTTTGACTAAACTGTTTGCTTATCTACTAAATCAATATCTGTAAGTACATCTTATGCTCCCTACCATAATATAACATAAAGACTGTTGCTATGGAGATTAAAAACTCAAAGATTGAAGTTAAGTTAAAAAAAAAAAAGAACCCTGATTCTTTCACTTTGTCTTTGTGAATCAAATATATTAGCTTCTATTTCTTTAACTCTTTCATATGTAAAATCAGATAAAATTTGTATTGTTTAAAAGGGTTGTCGCTAGATAATCCTGATCGTATTTAACAGACAGTCTTAGATTAGTTAATACAAACTGCCAAGACAACATCCTCTCACATACCTATTACTAGGTTCTGAGAATATATTGATGTATACATAACAACTGCTGCCCTCGAGAATCTTTCATTCCAGAAAAAAAGAGAGGAATAGAGTTCATGTGACGAGGGTTTCACTTAAGCAGTGTGTTGACAGCAAGCACCTTTCTTTCCACCCACAGGTCCACGCCCTCTTACTACTATAAACTGATCTTTAGGAGGACCATATGTCTGCTTTCTGTCCTAATAGTTTAGCAGCTGCCTCAACTTTAAAGTCAAGATGCAACGTAGAGCTTCTCATTTCACATTAGCAATAAATGAGTGCCATGTATAATCCCATGGCCACAGAAAACCATTTCTGCCAGCACTTTAGTGCACTTCATGGACATAAAACATCATCAAAGTGTTTCAGTCAGCAGCTCAAGAGTCGGGATTTAGTTAAAAGTTTATTTTCCGTAAATAAAACCAACTGATGTGAAGTGACTGTCACAGAAGCACAAGTTTAAAGCTTAGACATAATTTTCTATTTCATTTTACAGATGAGAGAAAGTGACATAATTTTTTATTTCATTTTACAGATGATAGAAAGTGACTTGCCCAAAGTCACATAGTTTCTAGGTGGTATAACTGAAGCTCTAACAACACACAATATGCAACTTAAAAATATATTAGCTTACGCGGGAGTGTGGTTGATGTAACTAGTGCCCCTTTGTTGAAGAAAAATGATTTTCCTTCTTCTATCAGCTATCAACTGCGAATAGCTTCCTGGCTAGGGGTGGGGCTTTGTGTCTTCCTGTTCTCTCAAGTGGTGATTTTGTCTGACATGAGCTTTTTCAGGTCTTGTGCATGCTGTCATAGTCTCTGTGAGTTTGTATGTACTTCTGTACTCTTGTGTCTGGAAATGCTGTTCCCTTGAAGGTCTCCACCACCTCTGGGTCTAATAATCTTTCCACCCCCTCTTCTGCATATATCACTGGACCTTGAGGGTCTATGCTTAGGTGTAGTTAATGCAAATACACCTCCATGGTGTGTGTGTGTGTGTGTGTGTGTGTGTGTGTGTGTGTATGTTTGTGAGAGAGAGACAGGGAGAGGTAGAGACAGAGACAGAAAGAGTCCATTGGTTTTAAAAGAGAGAAAGAACATAAAATTGGGTGCATGTGGAGGGTAGTGGGGGAGAATCTTTATGGAGTTTGGGGAGGGGGAGAATATGATCAAAACACATTGTATGAAACAAAGAATAAATAAGAATGTTAAAAATATCTTAGCACAAGAAACAGTATTATTTATTTAACTTTTACGAAAATAAAATATCACCTCTGACATAACTGATAGATATCTCTTTGCCCTGTGAATTATTACAGAGAATGATAACAAATGCTACTTTCTTGGGGCTGTTTCACCTTTATAGAGATTTATAGTTTAAAGCTGTCTTGTTCTCATGCAAAAATTATTGTTTACCCTTTCTAACTCTGCAGAGTCAAACACAATAAAAATAAACCACTGTTCATCTGCCTTTTATCCTGCAGCTTCATGCATTCTTGACACTACAAATTGATCACTAGTTTCAGAAATGTCTGCTTTTCCTCCCAACTGTTTAGCAGCACACCGTTCTGCTCACTATAACTTAATGAGCCAAGCAAGAAGAAAAATTTGAGGGTAAGAAAGGTGAAGGTAAAGCTTCAAAGTATATGGAAGTAGTGATTTGATTTCACACAGTCTACAAGAAGACAGCCATCACAATTACCAGTGCTATTTCACTAGCCTTGAAAGACTCTGGGTAGAGCCTCTCTAGACGGGGAGACCCCGCTTCCCAAGAATCAGCGAGACCAGCCTTCGGATGCAAGCCGCAAGAGGTTTATTTCGATACACGGGTACCCGGGGCGACAAAGCCTTTCGGAAGACCTGCGCGCCTCTCGGTTGGGGTGACGGGTTTTTATAGGGCTCGGGAGCAAGAAGCACGTTTACAGAAGCGAGAAGCATAGTTACGGGGATCTGATTGGGGGATTTGAACAAAGCCATAGTTAGGTTACATATTTGGAGCAGGGAAGGCGGGAAAGCAGATGTGGGCTAAGTCACGTAGCCGGTTCAGAGAAGGCGGGAAAGACTCCCGGTTCTTATCTTGGGTGTCCCGATTGTTTCAGGCGTCCAACCGCAGATACCCTGTGGTTGGACACCTGTCCTGCCCTGCCTCTGACCCTGCATTGCTTGTAAAATAGTGTTGCCAGCATTATGCTAGGGCTTTTTATTTTTCCATTCTAGGTTAGTTATTTCATAACTCCTAGGTTGCTTAGCCACCTGTGATAGTCACTGACAGGGGCCTGGGATAAAAGGACCTCTGCCTCTCTGCTCTCTCTCCTCCATTGCTCCTCCCTGTTTTGGTCTCTTTCCTCTTTCTCTGTAGGGGCTCCCCTTTCTAATATTTCTATCTGTCTGTCTCTCTCCCTGTCTCTTTGTCTCTCTGCCTTCATGGCTCACTAAGGCTCCAATTCTTTTATGCTTCCCTTTCCCCCAACATGGCTGTATGCATGGCATTATTTTTTTAAATAAATACTAACAACCAGTATTTAGATCCATTTAGAGGCCTAACTTATGGTAGCTAGCTCTTTTTTTTTAGTTTTAATTTTTTAAATTTTTTTTTATTTTTAAGTTTTATTTATAAAAGAATTATTTCTTTTATTTACTTGAAATTATAATACAATTATATCATTTCTCCTCTTCCCTCTCCTACCTAAAAAATATCTTGCTCTCTTTCAAATTCATGGCCTCTGTTTTTTATTAATATTTGTCACATAAACATATGCATATACCCATATATATTCCTAAGTACATAAACACATCCTGCTCAGTCTGAATGATGCTACTTGTATGTTTGTTTTCAGGGTTGTTCATTTGGTATTGGATAAGAAATTTTTGTCCTCCTTCCTATTTCTCCCACCTGCAGATTCCTTAGTTGCAGGTAGTTCTTTGTGTAGGGCTGAAGACCCAAAGGCTTTCCCCTGTCTACTATCTGTACTCCTTCATAAATCCTGAGTCTTCAACAGATGTCCATCACCATCACTGCCAACCTCAGCAGCCATTTCATGAACCTGTCCTAGATAAACCTAGACAAACAAATTAAAAAAATTTTAAGCTGATCCATCATGAGGGATGGGAGTAAATAGTTGGATGGTGTATAAAATTTCAAGTCTAGTTAGTGGAAGATCTAGGTTTGGAATTCCACTAGTTATTCAATGTTGAGGGCAAACAAATGAAAATTGAAAACTTAATAAAAAAAATTCTTATAAATCAGTGACTCCCAGAAGGCTGGAAAAGGCAATTTCAAAATTACCCTTGGGATAGAAGACCAGTCAATGATGGCTAATCTTGATTCTCAAATTGATTGTACAGATCTAGATGATAAGCCAAGCACACATCTGGATGTGTCTATGAGGTGTGCTTACAGAGATAGAAACCTAAGGGAGAGGAGCAGACCATACCATCTAACAAACTTAGGGCTCAAACAGAATGAAAGAAAGAAGGAAGCATGGAAGAAGTGGTGGAGTCATAGAGTGCTTCTTCTTCAGGGCTGAAAGTCACTTGGTTGCCCTTGAATTCTGCTGGTGACCACAGGAAGAAGCCAAGGTACATTTGGGATTCTCCAGACATATTTAATTACTTTTCTTTTGCTGTGAAAAAGACACCCAAAACAAAACAAACAAACAAAAACCCACCAAGGCAGCTTAGAGAGGGAACGGTTCATTTGGGGCTTCTTATGGTTCCAGAGGGATAAGAATTCATCATTATGATGTTGTGGAAGTGTGGCAGCAAGGAAGAATGGTGACTAGAGCAGCAGCTGAGAGTTGACATCTTAAAATGCAAACTAGAGCAGAGAGAGAGTACATTAGGAATAAGGAGAGGATTTTGAGACCTCAAAGTCTTTCCCCAGGGACATACTTTCTCCAGAAAGGCCATTACTTCCTAATCCTACACAAAGAGTGCTACCAACTGTGAACTAAGTATTCAAATGCCTGAGACATTTTTAGGGACATTTCATTTAAATCACTGTATTCCATTCTCTGGGTCCCTAAATTCCTGGTCACATTATAATGCAAAATAAATTTACTACAACTCCAAAAGTCCCATAGTTTTTCAATCTTAACATTTTAAAAACCCAATTCTCCTCCAGTCTTTTAATTGTAACCCTCTGTAAAATCGAAAAGCAAATTACATATTCATATCATATAATGGCACAGAATATATATTTGCATTGCCAAAGGAAAATACTGGGGCATAGTGAGGAAATACTGGACTAAAGCATGATGGAAACCTAGCAGACCAAACACCAAATTTTCTAGCTCCAAGTCCAGTATCGTAATGCTTACATGGCTCTGCCTTCCAGCTTTCCTTCCTGTCAGACTTCATTTATCTTCCTGGATTAGGTCTATTCAATCTGTGTGCAGCTCTTCTTTATAGAGATTCCACATTTTTGCTTTCTTCACCACCTTGGGGTCCCCATCAAAACTCAAGCTTCACTTTGATGACTTCATGAAATTTCTTATCAGGATCTTCATTCAGGAATTTTCCATGTCACCTGCCTTGGTCTCAGCAGCTCTCTGAAACCCAGAGGAAGAATCCACAATCCTTCATGAACAGATGGACAACACTATGCGGAATGGCTACCAGTTCGGGCTTGACCATGACTCCCTTAACCTAAAGACATTTCTGGAATTTAGCATTCTGAGTAAGAATGGCATGCATAGGCTCAGATATTGGAATACGTGGTCTATAGCAGGTGACGTCATTTGGGTAGAATAAGAAGCTGTGCATGGTCTTTCTAAAGGAAGTACTTCACCAAGATTAGATTTTGAGAGCTTAAAGACTGGCACCATTTTGAGCTCTCTCTGCTTCCCACGTGTGGTGGAAGATGTGAACTCTGAGTTTGGCACCAGTGACCATTTCTGCTTGATGGCATGATTTCCTGCCATGATATTGATGGACTGTTATCTGTCTGGAAACATATGCTCCAAATAAAGCTTCTTCCTATAAGTTGTCTTGGTCATGATGTTTTATCTCAACGATAGGAAAGTAACCCAGATAAGTGTTTATATGATCTACTCTTAGGGTCTTTCTTCAGACTGGCCTCAAAATAGCTTTTTTGGTCATTTTTCAAACTGTCCATTAGTCTGAAGACTTTCTAAGTGAGATCCCCAGTAGAAGCAGGTAGAAATGATATGTCTGATTTTAATTTAATATTAAATATTACTTCAAAATCAAATAATTTAAACATGTACTAAATAAGATATTGAAAAGAGAAATAAACCAAGAATCTATAAAAAATCATATATTTAAATTATATGTCTAGATGGTGTAGAAAGGATACAACATCTAGAAAACAATAAATTTTTTTTTCATAAATTATTTTTCCTTAAACTTCAAGAAATAAATGTTATATAAATAGTTTCAGGGTATCATGTATTCAGGTATCATATAAAGTAGAAAGAAAGAGTTGTTTTTTTTTTACTTGATTAAATATATCAATTATATCTTCACAAAACTGAATAAATATTAGAAAGCTTTTCATTAAATTCAAGAGAAAGACAACATATTTATTGTAATTAGCAGTATAAAGAAAGACTGGGTCACATATTATTAAAATAACTAAGGTGGTTAAGCATTCAAAGAGATATAACATGGTCACTATTTACAGAAGAATCAAAGAAACTTTACAACTTAGTTATAAATTCAATGCTTACAAAGCCATTCAGCAAGGTGTTTGGTATGAAAGCATCACTTTGTCAATATCAGAATAATCGAGCATGTCCAGGTGTGGCGTACACTCGCACTGCCAGAAGGCTAATATTTTGTCATTTCGCTTATTTACTTCTGGCAAAACTGAAGTTAGTGGCTTGCCCCCTAATCAGATAGCCAGTACAACAAAAAATCTAAGACAATACGAAGAAAGTCTATACCCTTAAGGTAACATTTGTAAACATGAGTAATAATCAATTACAGTATTTAAGGAAAACAAAAGTTACTTTTCCTCCTAGGTAGCCACAAAACATATGGTGTTGTGGTAGTCAGCATTTTGAGGTATTCCCCATTATTTTTCCACATCAGAGTACAAGATCAGACATGAAGAAGGCGGCTGTCCAGGATTACTTGCTAGATTAGACTGTGCAGGTGATATGAGCTGTACAGGTCCCATAAAACAGTTTTCTTAAGATGGGCAGGTGAGTCAAACTATTATTATATAAGAATCAAACACTTGTATGGACATGCTGGCCGGATACGTCAGCCTGTTTGTTTTTTTAAACTTCTTTTATATTTTGGGATTATAATATAATTACATTATCTTCTACTTAACTTCCTTCCCTCCAAGTGTTCCCATATACCCTCTTTACTCTCTTTCAAGTTCACTGATTCTTTTTATTAAGTGTTGTTACGTGAATATGTGTAAATATACGCACACATATTCCTAAATGCAGCTTGCTCAGTCTATAGAATGTTACCTGTATGTATGTTTTCAGGGCTGAACATCTGGTATTAGATGACCAGATGGTGTGATCTTTGCTGGGGAAGACTATTTTTCTAATACCAGGCATGAGAATCCCTCTTTTGGATTGTTGCTGAGGGTTGTCCAATCATTGCAGGCTATTATATTGCCCTTGGCTGCCCTCCATAGGTGAAAGGTAAGTCCCTAGTGCTGAAGACACCCTGCACTTCATACAAATGGGCCAGAGGCCGCTGAGCTGGAACTGACTGGAATGCCTTCTTCTTAAGGACCAGCTTTCATCATAACAGAAGGCACAATGCAAGCTTCCATAGAAGGAAAACTACTGACAGTTCTACCCAGCTATGACAGCTATGAAACCACAGCAAGGACCAGAATGGCAAGAAAATCACAGGTGTAGTAGTACCATACTTACTTTGGCAGTAACCAACAACTCTCAAATTGAATTTAAGACTCCCTTAACAATAGGGAAATCACTCCTGGTACCTAGCCAGGCAACTGAAGTCATGAATCTTGGTGGAGACCTACAATCATCAGTTTACTAAATCAGCATAATCCCTAACGAAATTTGAAATATCTGTTTTATAAACACAGATAAGTGTAGCTCTCATCCGTTATCAAGGGAAATTCTTTTTGCAATAGAAAAGACCATCATAGAAAGCTGTACCTGCCTGCGGGACTAGTAATTCGTGGGGTCTCCAAAGAGGACCAGGCCTGAAAGAAAAACGGGCGAGAGAGAACGGACTCAAGCAAATGTGCACTTGTCAAGAGTCAAATTTTATTGAACCGGAGGCTTTTAAGGCCAACCTTAGATAGGGGCGGGGCGAGGGAGGAGCACAGTGTAGAACACTCAGGGAGGGGTAGGTTGGAAAATCCCACTCTAGAACTTCTGAACTCAGGGAGGGGCAGGGTGCAAGTTACAAAATCTTCTTGGCCCGGGGCCTGGAACACTTTGCAGTTATCTCGGGAAGTCATGGTACAGTTAGCACATTTCTGCAACTGTCAAGCAGGATGTTGGTCAACCAGGTGCAGCAGGGTTGGGGGAATGAGGAAAGGTCAGAAGTTTCTCAGGGCTTGTCTCCAACAGAAAGCCACAACCAATCAAAATGCAGAGTTGTGGAGCCCAGTCCCAATGGATACATCTATAAGACAGTTTGTGTACTCAAGGCTCAGTTCTTGCAAAAGAAGGAAGGGAAAGGTTTTTAAAACACAGAGAACCATAAAGCCTCACCAGCTTGACTGCCTAAACATGAACTGAACAAGGACAACAGCAGCAGACATGCTAAAGTGGCCTATTGACCTGAGCTGTCTGCAGCTACCAAACAATAGAAAATGAGATGTTCAGTTCTGTCACAGTCGATTTCTGTCAACATTATGAATAAACTTGGAAACATATAAGTTACAGGTAATGTGGTCTGGAGAACTTACAACAACCTACTGGTTTAGAAAATGACAAAATCAACATTTAGAAGTGTGAAGTCGGTAGCTGCCAATCTGTAGACAGCAAGCCTAGCTCTGTGCCCACTTTGTTGTGCTCTGAAGCATCCTGAGGAATAAAAACTCACTTGTACGCTTGTGAGGTACGCTTGTACCTTGGACTTTGGAGGAGTACAAACGTTGCCTCCTCTCCACTCACTACAGCCATCTTCTTTTATGTATCTGCATCTGCAGAACAGCATGCACATAAGAGAGTCCCAGCAGTCATATATAGAAGTAAACAAGTGAGGTTTGCCCCTATGTAAATAGTTCCAGATGGATGTTCTGGAAACAGTTTGAAAGGGCAGCCTTACAGAGTCACCCTGCTGCAGCAGAGACAAGCTTTCCAGAACAAGCAGGCTTAATTTGTTCACAAGCTCCCATTTGCCTTCAGTCAGATGGAAAGGTAATGCCTCTGCCAGCCCAGCAGACAGAAACTCTGCTTCTGTGTATGTCTTGGTCTCTGAGGTATGAGGTTGACTTTAGGGACGACAGATGAAATGGCTTGGTTTGACAATTATATCACTGTGCACAGATGGTTTCTAGGCATCTATAGAATCTTTCTCAGTACTATTTATTGCACCTTCATCAGGTCCCAGGAGAGCAGGTGTGATATCCATCACTAAGCAGTTTTTTCTGTCTGTGGATTTTGCTGTTCTAAAGGGACATGTGGCTGCAGTTTGGAATTTAAAGTAATGTCATTACTTATAAATTAAAATTTAATTGTATCTTTGCCAAATCTGAGAATATACTCTAAGGAGAAATTTTGCACTCTTTCTCTTTTTAAAAAATATTATATTATTTGTCATTTAAGGAAACAAAATGTATTCACCTTTTTTGATGAAAACTATTGTGTCATATGTATTTTAAATATTTATTTTATTTTAATTCTGTATCTATGTATGTGTTTCTATGTGAGTTTGTGATCATGTGAAAGCAGGAGGCTGTAGGATCCTGAAGAGACCATATGTCCCCCTGGACCTGAAGGTACAGGGAGTTGTGAACTATTTGATTTGGGTATAGGAAATGGAACTCTGGTCCTTAGTAAGACGGTGCTCTTAACTGACTAGCCATATTTCCCATTGCTTTGAGGCCTATTTTAAATCAGCTGGGATAGATATGAGCAGTTTATGTCCTGTTTCTAAAGACTCAATGAAAGACAAACTAGTTATTATATTCAAGGAGCCCATGTAAGAAATGAAAAAAAAGTAGATTGGGGGATATACCTCAGTGGTAGACCACTTTATAACAGGCATGAGGCACTGAGTTCAGTTTCCAGGACTAGTACCTGAAAAACAAAACAAAACAAACAAACAAACAAATCAGCAAAAGAAGCAATAAAATCAGTGCTTCTTTGAAAGATGAGAGAAAGCAGAGCTTATCAGTTGGGTGAGCTCAAATATGGTTTTAGGGTTGACTACCTGTTACGTTTGCATAGCCTTAAGGAAGGTCAAGTTTTTCCACAGACAAATTGAACATGATCATTTCACTCATAAAAATCACCTTGGCATGGAAAGAATACAGTATATATTTTATACAGCAAGAAATAGAAAAGGAATTTATGTAACGAGAAAGCTATTGTTTCCCTCAATGAATAGTTTTTAAATTTTAATCAATTCCATGAGAACTGTTACTCTTGTGAAAAGAGTTCTATCCACATGTCCTAGAGAAAATGCAAGGACTCATAAAGCTTATTACCAGAAACTTAATGATTAGGAAAACAACCCTTTAAAACACTGTTGCAGTGCATTGAGGTCTTATAAGAAGAGGTTTGTCTCTGGGGTAGAATACAGGCAATGAAAACACAGGTAAAATGCGGGCTCTCCTACAAGTGAGGCACAAGTTAATGACACCTTCCTTGTCGCCTTCCTTGTCCCTCAGACAAGACAGCCCCACACATGTGAGCCTTATCTCATGTACTTGTTTATCTCATTTAACTAGATGTATCCCTCAACTATTCATGGAAGTGTGAGGATATTACATAAAGTTGTACAGAGAAATAAAAAGAAATATAGGTGTCACTGTAGCTTTTAGAAATAATACAGAGAAATACTCTAAACATGTAGGAATACATGGGTAAGAAATCACATGTTATACTTGACACACTTTAATCTCAATCCTCTACAACAACAACACGTGACTCCCCGAGTAATGACTTACTTGCCATTAAAATGTTAGCTTGGACTGCATGGTGATATAGAAGATGGTTGTCGTGACTGACAAACTCAAATAACAAAATAGTTCATATACTCAACATATAACCAAGTCCAGCATTTTCGATAGGGCAAGGTTCAGAAAACCAAGGACAAAGCAAGAAATAAGATTATATTAACAGAAAATAAAGTTAAGAAAATTTTTTCTTGATTTGTGTTGTTATGTTTATGGGATAAATACGCTGTAAGATAGCTTTTCATCCTGGCAACTAAAAGGAGAAAGAAAATAGTGAATGGTAATCTATAAAAGAAAGCTATTAAAAGGTGTTTTTGAAGCTTCTCAGTGTTATAAAACACAGCTGGCTGCCCAGGTACCCTGATGAGAGCATAGGCTGAAGAGTTTTTTCTACCCATCTTTCTTCAATCCATACAAAACTAGGGTCTAACCTCAAGATGGCCTAAAATGCATTAACCATCTTGTTATTTGATTATGCTAATGAGATCTGGGCATTTTGTCCTGAAGATAGTCTTAAAATGTATTCTCACCTCAAAAT